CGACGTCGGTACCTTTCTGACGGCTGTGTCGCCGAAGCCGCGTGGGAAGACCTGCGCGGGAAGATGGTGCAGATGCTGGAGACCGTCCAGCAGATTGTCGAAGAGGCAGTCGAGCAGCCACGGGAGACCATCAGCTTATCGGTCACGTCCCCCGCTCGTGAAACGGACCAAGACAGAGGGAATGCCAGAGGAGAACCACGTGCTCGAACCGGGGGGGAACCTTGGGGGCTGTACTCCTGGGTCGCCTCGCCCACCGGTCAGTCCCAGAGGATTTCGCGCGCTGGGCGCCTGAACCTGAGTGCAGCGAGGGTCCCCATTCCCCCGCGCTCGCTCTCCGCGGGCCATGGGCGCGGGAACCGATCGACGCAGGACCTCCAGGGCCCCGTCGGGCGCCTTCGCTCGCACGGCGTGCTACAGCGCACCGAGCTTCCGTGTGCCAAAAGAGGCCCAGGGTGCGCGGCAGTCCCTGAACGCTGCAGTCCGGGAAATCGAGGACAGTGTCATCAGGCAGTCTGTCGAGCATGTTCGGTCAGATGTCATCAGTTCAACTTGAAGTTCCTCTGCCCGGACTGTCTTCCGCCTTCCGCGCGTAATTGCACGGCGCTGCGTAGCCTCGAATGGGAGCAGGTCGAGGAGAGAAAGCGGGGGGCTATAGCCGAAGAAATGGGCCGGGAGATGGCGCAAATGAGAGATCAGATCTTGAGGACCGAAGTTCATCAGCGCGCAGCTGCTCGTGTTCAGCCCGAGAACGACCGCGTCACGATGATCCGCGCCATGGGGCAGGCTGAGGAGAGGCAGCAAGCCGTCGCCTCGGAGCAGGCAGTGCGAGCGCTAGCTGAGCCCCGTGAACTGGACAACAAGGTCGAGGCCTCGACGGCTGCCGAGAAGCGTGCCCAGGCCCTCGAGCAGAACATAGCGGAGGAGGCCGCGCGCGTCGTCCGGGGGGCTGGAGAAACCCAGCAGCGGACGATGGCAGGGGCCGCTGAAGAGCTCAAGGCGGCTGAGGCGCGTAGCGCTTCTGGGGGCGGAGGCGCAGGCGGTGGTTCAACGTGTTCAGGCAGATCGACTGAGCGCCGAGGCTGTCGTGAAGAAGGTGTTGGCTCGGCGGCCAGATCCTACGCCTTTTCGACTTCGGCCAGCCATTGCTCGCCCTCGAGGACACGGGCCGCGCAGGCCTCGAGCCAGGCCTGCGCGCGCCTGCACGCGATCCCCTTTGCGGAGTCATCCGCCATCAGGGGCGGGCGACGCGGAGGAGGAACTGATGGCCCAGCTTTGGGCTGCAGTTTGGCTTCAAGGGCCTTGAGCTCGTCGATGCCGCCCAATTCTGCATGGAGAAGAGCGACAGGGTCGGGAGCGGCCGTGGGCGTGTGGTGGGCCTCTTCGGTGCCGCCGCCATGAGGGCGCCAGCCCGCGTTGTGGTAGACCCACGGCCGCCGATCGCGGGGAGCCCCCCCGGCGCCCCGTGGCGGCACAGTTGGCCCCTTGGTGCCAGCACCCGCGGTGCCACCTGCATCCCGCGGGCGGGGCTCCTGCTGCCAGCGCAAAAAGGTTCGACGAGAGCGCCTGGGAACCGAATGGCCACTGACCGCCAGGGAGTTCGGCGGGCGCCGGGTTGGGCACGAGCGGTGCGCGGCAATGGTAGCACCAGTGGTTGGACTTGAAGTTCCAACGGTAGCGGCACGCCGAACAGCTGAGGTACATGCCGCTCCTCTCCTTGCCACCTCTGCCGCCATGACCGCCCTTGGTTCCGCTGCGGCCCATGGGATGCCGACGACCCGCGCGCAGCCAGGTCTCAGCAGACAGCACTGCTCGCCCGTTGGAGGGCTGCAGGCGGCGCGCTCGGACAAACAATGAGCCGCAATCAGGACGGAAGATTGGCCGCGGACTAGCGGTATCCACTTGTTGTCCAGGGGAACTCGCAGCCTTGAGTCAACCTGAATTGAGCTAAAATGGCGACGGAGGAGGAGGAGGAGGATGACGAGGAGGATGAGAAGGATGAGGAGGAGGAGGAGGAGAGGGAAGAGGATAATGATCAAGATGACGAGGAAGACGAACAAGAGGAGGAGGAGAACGAGGAGGAGGAGGAGGACGAGGACGAGGACGAAGTGGAGCAGGAGGAGGAGGACCAGCAGGAGTAGCATGAGAAGGAGGACGAGGAGAAGGAAGTGACGACGACGATGCTGTTGATGATGGTGCTGATGATGATGACGATGGTGATGCGGCTGATGATGATCCTGCTGATGCTCATGATGATAGTGATGCTGATCATGCTGCTGATGCTGATACTGATGGTGATGATGATGACGCCGATGGTGATGCTGATGCTGATGATGATGACGATGATGGTAATGGTGATGATGATTGTGATGGTGGTCATAATGATGAAGTAGTTGCCGATGCTGATGCTGATGCTGATGCTGATGCTGATGCTGATGATGCTGATGATTATGATGCTGGTGATGCTGAAGGCGATGATGCTGATGCTGATGCAGATGATGATGCTGATGATGATGTTGATGCTGCTGCTGATGGTGATGATGCTGATACTGATGATGATGCTGATAATGCTGATGACGATTCTTATGATGCTGATGCTGATGATGCTGCTGATGATGATGCTGACTATGATGATGATGATGATGATGATGATGATGATGATCATGATGATGATGACGATGATGATGATGATGATGATGAGGATGAGGATGAGGATGAGGATGAGGACGTTGATGATGATGATGATGGTGCTGATGATGATGATGATGATGCTGATGATGATGATGATGATGATTATGATGATGATGATGATGAGGATGATGATGATGAGGATGATGATGATGAGGATTATGATGATGATTATGATGATGATGATGATGATGATGATGATGATGATGATGATGATGATGATGAGGATTATGATGATGATTATGATGATGAGTATGATGCTGATGCTGCTGATGATCATGGTGATGCTGATGCAAATGATGCTAATTATGATGATGATGCCTCTGATGATGATGACGATGCTGATGATGATGGTGGTTATGGTGGTGGTGGTGAGATGATGATGATAATGATGAGGAGGAGGAGACATAGTAGGAGGAAGATGAGGAGAATGACGAGGAGGAGAAGGACGAGGACGACGACGAGCAGGAGGGGGAAGAGGAAAATTATGAGGAGGATGAGGAGGAGGTCGACGAGGACGTTGGCAGCTCACTCTTTTGGCTGCGCGTCTGCCAGTCTCGGCGGGTAGCCCCGGCATGCAGCTCGGGCGCCCTTTCATTCTTATCCGCAATTGTGGGATGTATGGTATGATGCGTTTTTTGGTTCGGTCTTGTTTTGTCTGGTCTCGTCGTGTCGCTCCTTGCGTGGCATTGCCTCTGGACCCATCGGGTTGCACAGGGGAGAGTTCTCGTCCAGTCGGCACTCGAACGACGTGCGTCATCAAGTTTCCGTCCTCCTCCTCCCCTTCATCCTCGCGCTTCTCCTCGGAGCAGTATTCTCCTGATATATGTACTCTTCTTAACTCCTTCCTGCTCCACCGCCCGTATCATTGATGCCTCTTTATTGCCACCTCTTTTTCCACATCCGTTGGGCGACATCCCTGCGAACACATTGATAGTTTCTGCTCTTATTATGGTCTGGTCTCTTCTGGCCGTCCATGCTTGCGCTTGGCTTGTTCCTGATTGGTCTCGTCGGGCCTGGTCGGCTCTTGTGTTCTGATTTGGCTTGGAATCACCAGGCATGATACAGCATATCGTCACGTGCCATGTGTTCCGGTTTGCTATGGCCAAGCCATGGGGGCTGAACAGGAGGATTGGGGAGAGCATGACAACTAGCCACGCCATTGCGACATACGTGTGGCACTGTTCTTGAGGCCCTCGCGAGGGCCCTTGAGGACCTCTCATGGTCGTCCGTATTGGGAGCCTCGTAGGCTGTTTTTGGAACCTTCTTGTGGATCTTTCGCCCTCTGATAAAGGGGACTCTGCGGTAAGTTCGATTTGCCCTTTGGAGGGCCTCCCGAGAGCTTCTTAGAGCCATCCTGACGTCTTGGGGTTCCCTCAGGCCGTCCTGGAAGTCTTTGGGGGGCTTCGTGAATCGTTCTGGTGGCGTCAGGGGGGCACGGGTCAGCCCCTCGAGTCTTCTGGCGGCCATCGGATGCCTCAGAGCAGCCATCATCATTCAACCGCATGTCAGATGTCACCATGATATTTTACCTGCTCAAGTTCACTCTTCCGATGAGGATTTTTGAGGCCTCACGAGTGCCCACGATGATTCGATATAGACCCAAACACAGCGCGGGAAGCACCCACCACGGCCCCAACTATTTCCAAGAGTACCCCAGGGGTCCCCCACCATGTCCCCGAGAGGCATTCAGCATCCCTTCAAATGGCGACCAGGTCGACGACATCCCATGTGGGCCCCAACCACTTCACGACGGCACCACCGAGGTTTGAACACAATGTTCGAAGGCGTGTTCGGCTCCGATTTTGCTAGTTCATTAACGTCGGATGCCTTGTTGCGGCTACACCCGCGTCTACACGTGTGCCTATGCGCGCGCCATCCCGATTCCGTGGCTAGGCGAGGGGGTTACGTCTTGTGGTGCGATGCCGGGAGGCGTGCAACCCCCTCCCCCAGGGATTGGACACATCATTTGGCCATTCAGAGGGCTGGCTGGTGGGATTACGCAATGGAACGCAGTGAACTTACCTAGCTGCAGTGCAGTGCAATTCAATGAAATGGGGCTGTAATGCAGTGCTGTGGAATGCCAAGAAATGTGGCGCAATGCTATCTGGCTTACGTAACGAGCGGCATTTGGCGTGACGGTATACAGAGTGAAAGGAATTCATCTCCTAAGTGTTGTTCCACGATGTGTTGCGATCTAACGTGAAGTAATGTTGTGTGGTGGAGTGGAATGCGGTGCAGTGTGATGTAGTGGCCGTTCAGTGCCATGTAGTCTCATTGAGTGTAATTGCAATGCGAGTGGCTGTCGTTGCTAGGATGTTCCCGTGAGCTTGGCCTACCAACAGTTGCCCCTGGTCGTGAAGGCAGTCCGGCAGTTCTGCGCAGCCATGGAACGCGTTGGCGTTGGCTTGTCGCGGCGGCAGTGGGTCTGTGACGGCGGCGATGCGTCGGCTGACGCAGCGGCAGACGGCCTGGCCCAGGACGAGCAGGATGGATGGCGTTATTCCTCGGCCTTCTTTGTCTTTAGCGACCCCACCGCGAGCGTCCAAGGTTGAACGCCACCAGAGACCCAGAATCGGCCGCTACGGACCGACCTGGCGATCGAACAGAAGCCGATCGTCCAAGGTTGAAGGTCCCACGCGGTGTCAGAAGCCAACGCCCAGGTCGCCACGACACGAACCCGCCGTACAACCAGTGCTTACCATCCCTCTCCCAGAGGCGAGGGAACGAACACAATGGTGGAGGGGCGAGTGCGTCGGGGGAGGGACGCGCAGCTGTGCTGCTTGTGTGCGTTTGGGTCCTGTGCTGCTTCTGTTGCTGCTTCTCCACTTCTTCTTTCCCCTCGACTGGACTGTGCGCACCCTTTTCCTTGGGTTCCGGGTTTGCAATTGAGCAGCGGCAATCAGACGTGGCAAGACTTGTCAAAGGAGGTCGGTGGGACAGAGGAGAGCGGAGAGGCTGATGAGAGAGATGCGGCGGAGGAGGATGAGGTAGGACGGGGAGCGACTGTCGATCAGGAGGAGGACGAGGTGGAGGACGACGAGAAACAGCAGCAGAGACAGGATCACGATAACATGTATGAGACATGGTATGAGATACAAAGGGCGAGTGCCACGGATTACGATAATACTGCTATTGTTGTTGATGTTGTTGATGGAGCCTATGTCGACATTGAATACGCTGATGATGTTGATGATGATGACGATGATATGGACGTTGATGCTGATTATTATCACCTTGATTGCAGCAACGATGCTGATTGCGATGATGACGACGACGGCGACGACGCCGATAATAATGACGACGGCGATGACGATGACGATGATGCTGATAATGAATGGTAGTGTTTATGATGGCGGTGACGATGATGATACTGATGATGTTGATGTTGTTGATGATGACGATGACGATGACGATCATGATGATGCTGATCATGATGCTGATGCTGTCGATCACGACGATGACGATGACACCGACGATGGCAATGTTGATGCTGGTGGTGATGTTGATGTTACTGATGATGACGGTTTTGTTATAGGATGACGCCGACGATGATGATGTGATACTGATGATGGTGATGAAAGTGATGCTGACGGCGACGGCGACGGCGCCGATGATGATGACGATGACGATGACGCCAGTGTCGATCATGATGGTGATGATGACGGAGAGGACGACACCGACGATAACGACGATGATGATGCTGCTGATGATTATGCTGCTGCTGATGATGATACTGCTGGTGGTTGTGGTGGTGATGAGCATGATGTTGGTAATGGTAGCTATGTTGACAGTGAGAAGCATGGTAATGTATGCCGATGGCGAGAATGAGCGATGACAGCGATGCTGGTGACGAGCTTGAGCTTGAGTGCGAGACGGGATTCTGTCGAAGCGAGGGGCATTGTTGCGGAACTTAGCTAGTTTGAAGGTCGCGCTCGTCAAGCTGTGTGGCGAGTTCGGGCGGTAATTCCTAAAGCGCCATCCAGTGGCGGCACTTGACCGCCCTGTGCATCAGGCGACGCATGGCCTTGCATCAGGATATGTAGTCGTTGCCGTAGGCAAGGCAAAGAGTACTGGGAACTCCTTTCTCACCCCTCCTCTTTTGGCTGACCTTTATATGGTCCCTTGCGGTAAATAGGCTCGACGCTCATTCCTTGCGAAGCAAGCAAATCTCCCGCGGCCTTTCTTCTTCGGTGTGTGCCAAGATGCTCACTCGCTTTGCCCAGCTCAGGGCAGGCAATCGTCCCCCCAGCGGATTTCTCACAGCTCGCAGGCCTTCATCGATCCGACCAGGTACTGTTCACTGGCAGCCATATTGCAAAGGAGCCAGCCGTCACACAGCAGGCGACTCGCAATGACTGTCCACTGATTCACGCAACTCGCTTCTCCAAAGTGGTTGTTCGGATTATCGATCTAGTGACGATCGGCCCAGCCCACCCCTGGCCGGGTTGTGGGTCAGAGTCCTCTTGGATGCCTGTTGGGGTCCCTGAGGATGCATCCTGGGGGTCTCTTGGAGGCCTCTCGGGAGCCTCTTGGGCCTCTTGAGGGCCTCTTTGAGGCCTCTTGGGGCCTCTTGGGCGCCTCTGAGGCCTTTTGGCGGTCTCAGGGGCCATCTTGGCAAAACAGAATTCGTGGGGGCAGATCGGGCTTCCTCCTTCCAGGGCCGGAAACATCGAATATCATTTTGTTTTTTCGGCTCCGGGAAGGGGCGCACGACATATTCCGGGAGTCTCGCGAGAAGTCCCGAGAAATTCGGTAGTGGTGTGTGTGTGTGTTTTCCCGCCGTCGTTGGGCGCTTCCTCCCCCACCCCTCTGCATGGTGGCCGAATTCGCCTTCGTTAATCTTCCAACGCCTCACAACCAGCGCAGTCACTCTGCCAGGCTGCCGACGCAAAAGTGTCTGTCTGTGTGTGTGTGTGCGTTTGTGCCCTCCTTGCCACTCCCTGTGCCTTTCTGCTGGCTCTGGCTGGCCTCGGCACCCGCGCACCGTAGGCTCGTGGCCCCTCTGCTCTTTGGGCTTTAGGTCGGTCTTGGCCTCCTTGTCGCCCCACGCTGCTTATTCGCTCCCCCCGCCATCCAATCCCGGAGAGCTTATGACACCTTCCACCGCCCCGTAGCCTCGTCCTTCCACCCCTCCCCTTGTCATCCCCGCCTAGATGGCTTATGGCGGCCGGCCACTGCGGGAACCGAAGCGGTCTCTGAGGGCTCGGGCGTTCATAGTCGCGCGCGCGCGTTCGCTATGACCTTCTCCGCCCTGTCGCCGATCGCAGGGCCGCGACGCCAAAAGTGTATGTATGCGTCTGTGTGCATGTGTGTGGAACCCTTCGAGCGCAGCCCGATGTTGCCACGCGTGAGGATCCACGATGCCAGACATGTCCTTGCCCAGGAGCGTCCTGGAGCCGTCCCTGGCACTTACGCCTTGTATCTGCCGTTCGCATGTTCACATCTCGTCAACTTTCTTGGCCGAACGTGCGCGCATATGTACCCGTCCACCCAACTGGGAATGGCAAGCCAACGGGCGGTACTACAATCGTCGCATGCCGCAGCCTGGAATGGTCTGGCCCACTCACGGGCCAGGCACAACGGGCTTCTCTTCGGCCCTGTCTCAACACCACTCCGTGCCGTCTTCCGTTCATAGGTCGCCATTCCGACAGAGTGCACCAGCAAATGATCATTCACATCAGCCGCCCAGCCGCGTCCCCACACTGGCATCCAGACTGCGTCTACCATGAATATGCTGAGGTCCCCGCGACGGGCTAGACTCTGAACGTGCGCACGGGACTGTGCGGAGCGGCCGCCAACGTGTGTTTGCTTTCCCAGCTGCCCTCTGCACGCCCCTGTTCAGCGAATCATCCAGCTGACCACGTGTGCGCGAGTGTCAAATCAATGTTTCCCTCTTCCCTTCCTCCCTCCTCCCTTTCTACAGCGCCATGCATTCGTGACGGCATGCTTGGATCAACAACATTCATCCCCCTCCTCCATCCCTCGTCCCCCTACCTCTCTCCTCCCTCACCCCTCCTCCGTTTCTCACCGAGCTCGTCCGTACAATCAAACGACATGGACGACCGTGCCGCAGGCGCTGCTCAGGCCGCTGCTCGGTGACCCGTCGGCATCCGACCAGCCAGACCCGTTCCTGGACCCGGTCGCGGGGGGACGAGGAGGACGAGGAGGAGGATGAGGAGGAGGAGGAAGAGGAGGAAGAGGAAGGGGAGGGGGGTTGAGGAGGGGAGGGGGAGTGGGAGAAGGAGAAGGAGGAGGAGGAGGAGGAGCAGGAGGACGAGGAGGAGGACAAGGGCAAGGACAAGGACATCCGCATGAGGGGGTTCTGCATCCTCGGCTCGCGTGGCCAGTGTCTCGGGCTCTCCCTGGGGCTCGACGGCCGCCAGTTTAGTTGGCGGGCGCCTGGCTCGAAATTTCTTCTCGCCCGCAGTCTGGCTCGACCCTTCTGCGCGTCGGGCAGTTCTTTTGGTCCAGTGGATAGATGCTGAAGAATGAGGCTTCCGCTGTGTAACTGCTTTATGCTGTTCCGAGGGATGCGTTCTCTGTGGATTTGTGTTCTCTTTTACCCAAGTCGGGTTTCGTGTTGAGGCGCGGCGGCTCTGGAGGGAATGTCGAGCTGCGCAGTATCGTTGTGCTTCCACCTCCCCGCCTTCTTTCGCATTCGCGATCTAACTGACGCCACTGAAGCCGATATCGAGTGTCTTGTGATGTCCCGCCGCAATGTGTTGTACCAGTCGTCTGCTTTTTTCCCAGAAGGGGCGTAGGCCCAGGGTTCTCCTTTAGTGTGGTAAGCCTGTCCTTGGTGCCTCAACTGAGGGGCGCCGGCGGATTTTTTCGCACGACCACCCCCCAGCACGACACCACCCAGTCGCACCCCCGTGGAATGTTTCGTGGGGTGTCTGGTTGAGTGGTTGCCTGTTCGTGGGGTGTCTCGTGGAATGTTTCACGGGGTGCCTCGTGGACTGTTTCGTGAGGTGTCTCGTGGAATGTTTCGTGAGGTGTCTCGTGGGATGTTTCGCGGGGTGTCTCGTGGGATGTTTCGTGAGGTGTCGCCCAGTTGGGTATCGTGAAAACGTGACCATGCTGCACATGTCTATATCCCTTTCCGGGTTCGTGGGTCCATCATGTTGCATATCCTCTGATGCTCTCATTCGTATTCCTGATGTCCCTGCTGAACCTGATCGGTGGTTCCAGAGGGCCACCACTTCGGATTTGAGAGCTGTTGGAGGTATCCGCGCCTCGGTCACCCTAGGGCGTCGCATCCGCAAATCTATGCCGTGCACGGACAATGCGTTGCAGTGTTTGCTTGCCTCGATGGTCACTATAGCTAAGCGCGTTCCACCTTTTGTCATTGCCTCGACTCTCATGGCGCTCGTGAATGGCTGGTGCTGTTCCGGTAGGTTCTCTGACCTTCTGCTCCCGAGTATATTATATGATTTGCGACTCTTTTGCGTCCCTCGTTTTTCCTCTTCTCCCTCGTCTCCCTCCTTCGTTCGTCTCGTGTCTTGGCCTCGCTCGTCGCTGCTTCGCTCTCTTTCTCACTCTCCCCCTTCCGCAGCTCGTCCCTTGCGATGTCCTCTGCGACCTTGTGTGCGTGCGTTACCACTCCTAGAGACACCGCGGAGGGCTGATTGGAGAGAGGCTCTTAATTGCGGCTCGTGCGCGTCTCGCTCCGCTGCTTCGGAAATCGCTTCCTCTTGCCAAGATGTTGATTTCGTATTCGCCATTCCTGGTCTTGTCACCCGTGCCCTGGTATGTAAAGCCCCTCCGATGGGATGCGGAGTTCTCTCGCCCCTGGACGGACCTCTTCTCTTCTCGTTCGTGCGCTTGACCGCCCTACTCTTCTTTGGCAGGGGAGTTCCTCCTCCTCCCCTTTCTTCCCTCCCCTGCCCATCCCTGCCCATCCCTGTCCCGCCCCCATTCGCCTCCGCTTCTTCCGCCTCCATTTCCACTTCATCCTCTTCTTCCTCCACGGAGAACCGATGGGGGTATGTGGGGAATCAACGGGTCGGGGGCTGGGAACCCCCTCCAAGGATTTACGCCTCCGCAGCTGTGGCTCGTCTCTCGCCCACGTGCTACTGGTCTTTGAACTGCAGTTTTGCGCGGCTCATTCCCGACTGCCCGACAGTCTTCTTTACGAGCAGAGTTCGCCCTTTGATTCAGCTTGAACTGATCGCCACGGGCGATTGTGGTGTCAATCGTAATTCCCTGATGGTGGCTAAAAGTGCTCGTAAGTCTCTCGAGGGCTATCTATCACAAGGCCTTGAGAGCTCGATGAGGGATCCTTGAATGCGTTATGTACTAAGCGACACCCAGCCCAGGCCCAACGCCATACTATGTGCCTCTCGCTAGCTGAGCTGCCTTTGAAAGGTGCGGTCGGTTACTTTGATGCTCGGATTTAAGTTTCGTATACCGATGTTTTGCGGACCCGCCAAGCCGATGATTCGGCCAGCAGCGTTTTGAAACGGTTGCTTGCTGTGCAGCGTGAAATCCTATCGAATGGCTTTCGGCCCATCCCGCCACCGTGCATGGGTTGTGGGTAAGAAGCCTATCGTATGTTCGTTGGGACCTCGTGGGGGGGCCTCTCGGGAGCCTCTTGGAGGCAGTTTGGAGGCAGTTCGGATGCCTTTGGGGAGCCAGATTGGGGCCTCTTGGGGGCCTCTTGGGGGCCTCGTGGGCTCAAACCATTTTGGCTCAAGGCCATCTGCAGCAGGAAGCAAGCAGGAAACATCCCTCCTTACTGTATCACTCAGTACATTTGCTGACAGTGACGCTCATAATGATGCAGGGTTTCGCAGAGCAGATGAACCAGTTCTTCTCTGTTAAGTCTGCCGGCAGCCCAGCGAGGAAGAAGGAGAGAGGCGCGAGCCCGGGGGAGGCAAACCAGCCGCCTTTTTCGAAGCCTCAGGCGGAGTGGATGCGTGAGGCCGTGGGCGGAGCTCTGACGGCCTTCGGCTCCCACATGCAGGGCAAGTTCGATGAGCAGGACAAGACAATCCAGGAGCTGAAGGACCAGAACGCCGCGCTCGAGAAGCGAGTGACTGACGTTGAGACTGAGTTCACCCAGCAGCGGGAGGTCACGTTGGCCGGGATCCAGAAGGAGGTCAAGACACTCCGCGAGAAGGAGGAGTCGGGTGCTGGGGCGTCTGCATCCGCGCCGCCTGCTCTTCTCCCTACTTCGTCGTCCCAGGCGGGTACATCATGCTGCATCCCGTACGAGGCCCGCGTCGTCGCCCGCATCGGGAACCTGGGCTGGAACACCGAGCCCGAGACCATCCTCGTGAGGGCGAGGGAGGTGTTGACTAATTCAGGTGTGAAGCCGGAGGACTACAGCAAGCTGTCGGCGGTCAGCCTGCGCGGGGGCAGCGCGGCCGAGCTGATATTGTCAGCCCGGAGAAGCTGCAGGCGGCGCAAGTTGTTGTCCGGGCCCTAAACCAGAAGTACGTCGACAACAAGTTCGTGTGGCTGGATGCGCGCAAGGAGAGGGCCGAGCTGCGACCAGCTCGCCTGGTGCACCGTGTGGCCGAGTTCCTGGAGGATGTGGAGTCGAGGAGGGAGGACAAGAGAGTCGTGGAGAAGAAGCTGAACGGCAAGTTCGTGGAGGTTGGGGGCACGCGTGTGGGCTTCAGCTTGCAGGGCACGTGGCGCTGGACGCAGTATGCGAATCAAAGGTATGACAATGAGACCCGGGACATGGGGAAGGCTTACGCCGAGCAGGAGTGACAAACCCTGGAGTTTCTGGAGATTGCATGCCTCAATTGCGGCAGAGCCGGGGGGAGCAGCAGCGGATTGGACTCGATCTTGCACGCTGTTGCGACTGCTGTGCCTCAGTGGGGTGTTTGCTTCTTCTCTGAAGTCGATGGGTTTCCGGATTCATGGTGTTCATCTCTTCAAGGTCATTTTTCCCGGAAAGGGCACGGGCCCAGGGTTCTCTTTTAGTAGGTAAACCTGTCCCCCGGTGCCAACTTGAAGGAGGCCGGCGAATTTTTTCCCTGATAAATAACGAGGTCGAAGGAGGCCGGCGAATTAAAATTTGAGGATGTCTCGAGCGAAACGCTTGTTTTTGAAATCCCGATCGATAAATCACAGGGTGCGGGCCACTTTTTCGTGTGTTGAGGATGTCTCGAGCGAAACGCTTGCTCCGCAGAGTTTGCCGAGGATGTCTCGAGCGAAACGCTTGTTTTGCAGAGCCGACCGCGACGCGGAAAAGCGCCCCGCGCGAAGGAATTTCGATGATGTCTCGACTAATTCGTTTGTTTTTGTACGATTTCCTGGAATTTTGGCAGGATGTCTCGAGCGAAATGCACGACCCCACCCTAGCACGACCATACCCCAGCACGACCACACCCCAGCACGACCAGACCCCAGCACGACCCCACCCCAGCACGACCCCACCCCAGCACGACCATACCCCAGCACGACCACACCCCAGCACGACCCGACCCCAGCACGACCCTACCCCAGCAAGACCACACCCCAGCACGACCACACCCCAGCACGACCTCACCACAGCACGACCACACCCCAGCACGACCACGCCCCAGCACGACCACGCCCCAGCACGACCACGCCCCAGCACGACCACCCCCCAGCACGACCACCCCCCAGCACGACCACCCCCCAGCACGACCACCCCCAGCACGACACACCCCAGCACGACCACTCCCCAGCACGACCCCCCAGCACGACCACCCCCCCAGCACGACCACCCCTCAGCACGACCACACCCCAGCACGACCACACCCCAGCACGACCACGCCCCAGCACGACCACACCCCAGCACGACCACACCCCAGCACGACCACACCCCAGCACGACCACACCCAACACGACCACACCCCACCACGATCACACCCCACCACGACCACACCCCAGCACGACCCGATCGATGAATCACAGGGTGCGGACCACCCCAGCACGGAGCACACACCCCAGCACGACCCCACACCCCAGCACGACCACACCCCAGCACGACCCCACCCCAGCACGACCCACCCCAGCACGACCCCACCCCAGCACGACCCCCCCAGCACGACCACACCCCAGCACGACCACACCCCAGCACGACCACACCCCAGCACGACCCCACCCCAGCACGACCACACCCCAGCACGACCACACCCCAGCACGACCCCACCCCAGCACGACCCCACCCCAGCACGACCCCACCCTAGCAAGACCACACCCCAGCACGACCACACCCCAGCACGACCACCACAGCACGACCACACCCCAGCACGACCACGCCCCAGCACGACCACGCCCCAGCACGACCACGCCCCAGCACGACCACGCCCCAGCACAACCACCCCCCAGCACGACCACCCCCCCAGCACGACCACGCCCCAGCACGACCACCCCCCAGCACGACCACACCCCAGCACGACCACTCCCCAGCACGACCACACCGCCTTGGTTGAGTGGTTGCCTGTCGTCGTGGAATGTTTCGTGGGGTGTCTCGTGGAATGTTTCGCGGGGTGTCTCGTGGAATGTTTCGTGAGGTGTCTCGCGGAATGTTTCGTGAGGTGTCTCGTGGGATGTTTCGTGAGGTGTCTCGTGGGATGTTTCGTGAGGTGTTGCCCCGTTGGGTATCGTGAAAACGTGCCCATGCTCCACATGTCTATATCCCTTTCCGGGTTCGTGGGTCCATCATGTTTCGTATCGCCATTGGCCCGGGGAGGGCTCGTGGGCGATGTCACTGCATGTCCGAATACCTATCGGTCATCTAATTCAGAGGGTGGAGTGGCGGGGCCGCTGTGGTGCCCTTCGCCTCTTGCAGAAGCCCTCGGACGTCAGCCGCGGTATGAACCTCCTGGGCAGTGTTTCTGCACAACTCCCACGGCGAGATGCAGGAGGAGACTCTTGCTGACCTTGCGTGCTTGGTCCGAGGCAAGCCCCTCGGAGCCGCTGTAATCGTGTCCGGCGATTTCAATGTCGACATGATTCTAGCTTGGGCCGGAGACCCGTGGGCGAATTCCCACGCCCGAGATCTCCATCATGTCGAGGACAGGTTGCGATTTGACGGGTTTTGTGATCAGTTCCGTCTTCAGCTTCATCTCCCTGGGAGCGTGGCTGGGGTACCGGAGGGGCCTTTCGCAGCAGAGTGCCTCTTTGCACCAATCACTCGGGTTCCGATTGGTGGGCGATCCCAGTCTTGCTTTCCAAGTTGTATCGATTATTGTGCGTGCAATCCGGGCGTGGTGTCGCAGTGCCGTGCTTCTTGGTATGGCGTTCCTGCGGATCACGCTATCGTGGCAGTTACATGTTCTCTCTCTCTCTCTCTCTCTCTCTTATGTCAAGTTTGAGTCGAAGAAGCGAGCCTGGTGATGCGCTGATCGCTATGCGTGCCGCCGGTGGCTGGAAGGGATTACGTTTCCAGAGTCTATGCGTTGTGAATTTTTCAACGCTTTCGCAGCAGACGCGCTGAGCGCGTGGGCTACACATTCCACGTGCCGCCAGCGCCGGCGGGAGCGCATGCCGCTGCAGCTGAGGGACGCCTATGCCAGACTCCGGCGAGAGCCAACAGCAGAACTGCGCTCCCTGACCAGGAACCTGCGGAAGCAGTGGGTAGCGGACATGCGGGGGCGCACTTTGCAGCAGCGGGTGGAGAGCGGAGGCGTGGTGGAGAAGGCCAAGAAGTTACACCCAATTTGCGCAATTCAGCTGTCTGAGCTTTCCGGGGAGAGGAGAGGGGCTTGGACAGATAGCCAGGACCTCTGGGATTCGGAGGTGCAAGGGCACTACCGCCAGAAGTGGGGTTGCCAGAAACTGGATGATCGCATGCAGTTGCTCGAGTTCGTGATGCTATACGAGGGTGTGGGGATGCAATTTTCCAGCGACGGGTGGTTGGACGCTGCCCGGGCAGTCCGTCCCCCCGACAAGCTTGACCATTATGGCGTCTGCGTTGCGTTCATCTTCCTGGCGTTGCGCGCGCAGCCAGGGGCGATGTCAAATTCCCTGAACAGGCTCATCTGCAGTTCACCGGCCTCGGCTTCGCTTGACATCCACGGTCGTATCTTTGGAAAAGCTTCGAGCCGCACGTCCGTGCAAGATGCCCGTGCGATATTGCCGCAACCAGCCGTTTTGCAAGTTGTCGATGTTGTTTTTCCCGGAAAGGGCATAGGCCCAGGGTTCTCTTTTCCTATGTAAACATATTCCCCCGTGCCCAACTTGAAGGAGGCCGGCGGATTCTTTCCCTGATAAATATCGAGGTCGAAGGAGGCCGGCGGATTAAAATTTGAGGATGTCTCAGGCGAAACGCTTGTTTTTGAAATCCCGATCGATAAATCACAGGGTGCGGGACACCTCAGCACGACCACACCCCCAGCATGACCACACCCCAGCACGACCACGCCCAGCACGACCACGCCCCAGCACGACCACACCCCAGCACGACCACACCACACCCCAGCACGACCACACCCCAGCACGACCACACCCCAGCACGACCACACCCCAGCACGACCACACCCCAGCACGACCCGACCCCAGCACGATACCCCAGCACGACCACACCCCCACACCCCAGCACGACACACATAGCACGCCCAGCACCCCAGCACGCCTACCACCCCACGCACGCCGCCCCAGCACGCACGACCACACCCCAGCACGACCCCAGCGACCCAGCACGACCACACCCCCACGCACAGACCCCAGCACGCCCCAGCACGACCACGCCCCAGCACGACCACCCCCCAGCACGACCACCCCCCCAGCACGACCACCCCCCAGCACGACCACCCCCCAGCACAACCACACCCCAGCACGACCACTCCCCAGCACGACCACACCGCCTTGGTTGAGTGGTTGCCGGTCGTCGTGGAATGTTTCGTGGGGTGTCTCGTGGAATGTTTCGCGGGGTGTGTCGTGGAATGTTTCGTGAGGTGTCTCGTGGAATGTTTCGTGAGGTGTCTCGTGGGATGTTTCGTGAAGTGTCTCGTGGGATGTTTCGTGAGGTGTCGCCCAGTTGGGTATCGTGAAAACGTGTCCATGCTCCACATGTCTATATCCATTTCCGGGTTCGTGGGTCCATCATGTTGCCAAGTATTGGAACAAAGTGGTGGGCCGGTTGATCCCTCAGCAGTTCGGGATCTTTGTCGGCGCTCGGCCCCGCACGCAGGCTTTAGACATCGCTCACGCACTGCAGCTTGTCGTCGAGAAGGGCCTCGACGATTGCAGCAACGCCACTCTTGCCCAGTGCGACGCCCAGACTTACTTTGACGAGCTGAGGGCCCTCCGGATCTGCAGGTGGCTGGTAACCAGGGGTTGTTCCCCCGAGGACGTGGCGTGTTTAGTGCGTGCTCAGATGGTGCCCCGCGTGATCCCCCACGCCGGCGGCAGCGCTGTGCCCATCGTGAACCGGTCCAAAAGGGGCCTGACAGGAAGCCGAACCGCTCTGATGCTTGCCCGGATCCTGGTGGAAGAGGTGATGAATGACAGAGCGGAGTCATGGAAGACTTGGGGGTTCCGCTGCGACGAGTCGCGCCTCAGGGCTGCATCGTGCATTGACAACGTGTTCGCTTGCAGCAACACGCCAGAATGAGCCGTCCGCATTCTCGAGGATGCCGAACAGCAGCTGCAGACCAAGTGGGGGCAGAGGATCAAGCCGTCCTCCAAACCCGTGATGCCCGTGGCAGGTTGCCAGGCTGCCGAGACGCAGTTTCCTGGTTGGCAGACTGTCAATGACTTCCCGGTCCTCGGCCACACATTCGCGGCGAATGGCAGCGTGGCGCCGTGTATACAGAAGACCAAGAAAGCCGTTTGGAAAGCTTTCTTTGCCAACGCCGGGGCGGCGTCTTTCTCAAGGGCGCCGCGGCAGGTCAAGCTCCGGCTCATTTCCCGATCGTGCTTAGCACCCTTCGCCTGCCGATGCTCGCGGTGGCCGCCGCGCGCGGAGCAGCTGGCGATGGTCGATCGCCTGCAGACAAGGTTGGTTGCAACCGCCGTGCGAATGCGGAAGTGCCCCGGCGACAGCGCCGAGTCCTTCGCTAGGAACGCCCGTGCCGCGCGCAAGGCGCGGGAGCATGGAAGATGGTCGACCTTTTGGTGCAAGCGAGTGGTAGATTGGGACAATCACATCAAGCGGGCCCATTGCCAGCAGCAGTGGGGCACGAGACTGGTGCTCTGGCACGACGGCCACTGGCTCCAAAACCGCCGGCGCCGACACCACCGAGAGCGCCCTCGCACGCGCGTCTGCCTGGGGCAACCAGCCGCCCGGTGGGGCGAGGGCGTGGCGCTGGCCACCGCGAAGCTCCAGCTCTGAGTCCCCGTTGTTCCTGTTCGACTCTTCCCTTCTTCTTCCTCCTCCCCTCCCTCCCCTTGGACGTGCCAGTGATGTGCGCAGCGTTCAATGTTCTCAGCGCGGGCTGCAGGTCTGGAGTCGTCAGTCACAGAGCCACAGCTGCCGCCATCAGCTGCCCAATCAATCAATCAATCGTGGGGCCTCTTCGGGGCTCCTGGGGGCCTCTTGGGGTCCTCCTGGGGAACTCTTGGGGGCTTCTTTGGCGCCTCTTGGTGCCTCTTGGGGGCCTTTTGGGGCGGAAAGCTGGGGTTGTTCGGTTCGTGTTGCCTCTCTTGGGCCCCTCTTGGGTAGTCTTGGGCGTTTCTTGGGCCGTCTTGGGGCGCTCTTCGGCCGTCTTGGGGCCTTCTTGAAGGCCTCTTGGGCCGTTTTGGGATGGTTTGTGGAGCATTTTGGGCCGTCTTGGAGCGTCGGCACGCCGACGAGGCGAGAACGCCACGATCCTTCAACAACCAACGGACAATCACTTATTGTTGCCTCTTGGGGCCTTCTTGGGATTCCTCTTGGAGGCCTCTTGGGGCATCTTGGAGGCTTCTTGGACAGTCTCGGGGCCATTTGGGGCGTCTTGGGAAGAAGTTTCGGCGACCCAGGGCCCTCTTGGGCCGTTGTGGGAGCATCTCGAGGCTCTCTGGGCCCGTCTTCGTGCCGCGTTGGGCCCCGCAAAGTCTTGCAATTTCGGCTCTGGGTCCCGTATAGGCTCCTCAGGAATCAGGACTGAGGCTTGAAGGGGTAGGCGAAGGACTTGAGGACACGCTCACTCCGTGCCCAGAGGCACGGTGGCGGATTTCCGGATGAGCTAGGCAGCGACGAGAAGGTGCCCCGCTTGCTGCACAACCAAAATATTACACTTGCGAAGCGCATGTGCCGTTTTCGGGATGCGGGACGCGAGCCTCAGTCGCGGAATGCCGTCTTGCATTTTCCCGGAAAGGGCGCAGGCCCAGGGTTCTGTTTTAGTAGGTAAACCTGTCCCCGGTGCTTCAACTGAGGTGGGCCGGCGGATTCTTTCCTTAATAAATATCGAGGTCGAGGTGGGCCAGCGGATACAAAATTGAGGATGTCTCAGGCGAACGCTTGTTTTTGAAATCCCGATCGATAAATCAAAGGGTGCGGGACACCTCAGCACGACCACACCCCAGCACGACCACACCCCAGCACGACCACGCCACAGCACGACCACTCCCCAGCACGACCACACCCCAGCACGACCACACCCCAGCATGACCACACCCCAGCACGACCACACCCCAGCACGACCACACCCCAGCACGACCACACCCCAGCACGACCCGATCGATCAATCACAGGGCGCGGACCACCCCAACACGACCCCAGCACGACCCCACCCCAACACGACACCACCCCAGCACGACCACGCCCCAGCACGACCACACCCCAGCACGACCACACCCCAGCACGACCACCCCCCAGCACGACCCCACCCCAGCCGCAGCACGACACCACACCCCAGCACGCACGAGCACGACCCCAGCACGACCCCAGCACGACCCCACCCCAGCAAGACCACACCCCAGCACGACCACACCCCAGCATGACCACACCACAGCACGACCACACCCCAGCATGACCACACCCCAGCACGACCACACCCCAGCACGACCACGCCCCAGCACGACCACCCCCCAGCACGACCACCCCCCCAGCACGACCACGCCCCAGCACGACTTCCCCCCAGCACAACCACACCCCAGCACGACCACTTCCCAGCACGACCACACCGCCTTGGTTGAGTGGTTGCCTGTTGTCGTGGAATGTTTCGTGGGGTGTCTCGTGGAATGTTTCGCGGGGTGTCTCGTGGAATGTTTCGTGAGGTGTCTCGTGGATTGTTTCGTGAGGTGTCTTGTGGGATGTTCCGTGAGGTGTCTCGTGGCATGTTTCGTGGGGTGTCGCCCAGTTGGGTATCGTGAAAACGTGACCATGCTGCACATGTCTATATCCCTTTCTGGGTTCGTGGGTCCACCATTTTTTTTTTTGTGTGTGTGCGTGTGTGTGTGTGTGTGTGTGTGTGTGTGTGCCAAGCGTTTCAGTGTGAAAGGCATTTTTTTGAACTCTGTTCGACGCCATGAAAGCATCGCTGCATCGTCAAGAAGTGAGTTCAGTTGCTTCCCCGCGGGGATGTGTGGAGGAACGGGGATCCCGAACTCGCCTCGGACGATCTGGGTCCGATGGAGGCTTGTGACGGGGCGATGGATCCCCCCCTGGCCGACCTGTGCCATTCCTCTCACCACCTGGCTGTGTTGCGAGGCGTTCTTTATTGCCAAACCTGTGGCGGGTTTTCCACTGTGAAGCCATCGTGCGTACTGAAAGGAGTAGGCCAGGCGCCCTCCAAAGCAAGGCGGGAGGTGCTTTCGCGCTTCAGGAGGGGATGGATTCCGAAGTGTAGCGCCAGCTTCACTGATTTAGTGTGGTTGTGATTGAGATGCTGCCAGCCAAACAACTGAACCCCGCGTTCCGTATCATCTATACATACATACATATATACATGCACATATATATATATATATATATTTGTGTACAGGCGCATGTATCTGCACAGTCCCTCTGTTGACCAATGCGGCCAGTACTTCGGCGGCTGCCGAGTCTAAGCCATAGTCATGTTGCATACCATGCGAACAACTATTGTGCATCACGCGCAGGGGATTTACAGAAGCTGGCCGATGTGATCACTGCGTGTCCACTGGGTGGTGGAACGGCCGCGGTGAACTCGGTCCGTCATGGACTACACCCGGAGCGCGACATGTCTACGAGTTGTTCGGAGCGCGATGTTGCCCTGCCCCGTCCCGAAACGAAAGTTCCTGCAGCAACCTCGAGGCCTCAGCAGATGTCTGCGCGCGCCCTCGGAAGTTCTGGCCGCGCTGCAGGCTCGGACTGTCGAGTGCGAGGCGCAGCAAGGCCAGTGGTTCGGCGAGTTTGGTGGGATCAACAGCGGCTCACGCAAGTCCTACTCGTCCCTCCGCCTTCCGCCTCCTCCCGCATCCCCCCTTTCGAGGTCAACATCGCATTCCCGGCCAACCCTTTTCTCATCGGAGGCTGGATGTGCATGCTGCGACTGCTACAGGGTAAAGCTGCCTCAAGTGTTGTTTTGAATGCAGTGGAGGTGATCGCGATGACGAGAACGACAACGATGACGGCGATGGGAAGAAAATAGGGTTGAGGGTAATGATCGTATTGTTGCTGATGATGATGGTGATGATGATGATGCTGATGATGAGGTCGACGGTGGTTCTGATAGTGACGATGACGAGGAAGAGACGCGGCAGAAGCAACATCACGAAGGCAGGGATAACATTGATAAATTACGATACGAGGATCGCAACGCTGAGAACGCCGATGAGGGCAATGATGCTGATGATTAAGGCGGGAACCTAGAGGGAGGGGGATGACGGGGAGACGGGCAGAGGGAGGAGGATGAAAGGAGAGGAGGAAGAGTAGGCGAGGACAAGGATGATGATGATGATGATGATGATGATGATGATGATGCTGATGCCAGTGATGTTGCGGATGATGATGATGCTGATGTTTATGACGGTGATGATAGTGAGACAGTGGAAGAGGACGATCATTCATATGTTCAATATGGTGATCTTGATGATGATGCGAAAGACGATGCCGATGATGATGATGATGATGATGATGACGATGACGATGACGATAACGATGACTATGACTGCTGATGATGATGATGATGATGATGATGGTGATGCTTATGATGACGATGATGCAGCTGTTGATGACGATGATATTGATGATGACGACGGTTATATGATGCTGATGATGATGAAGATGGTGATGACGTTGATGATGATGAAGACGACGATGGCGGCGGTGATGATGATGATGGCGATGACGAAGACGATGACGACGACGATGATGAGGAGGAGGGGGAGGAGCGTGAGGATGATAATGAGGATGAGGGTGATGATGACGAGGAGGACGATGCGTATGATGGTGAGGATGATGAGGTGATGATGGTTCTGAGGATTGTGAGGATGATGGTGCATCGGACGATGCGTACGATGCTGATGTTGACATGGTGATGCTGATGATGAGGAAGATGATGATGGTGATGGTGAAGGTGAGGATGCCGGTGATGATGACGAGGAGGAGGAAGATACGTATGAGGACGAGGGCGGTACTGATGATGATGCTGCTGCTGATGATGACGGTGGTGAGGCTTGTGATTCCGACGATGATGGTGTTGATGGTGATGACGATGACGACGGTGATGATGCTGCTGATGATGATGATGATGATGATGGTGATGAGGACGCTGATGATGATGATACTGGCGAGGAGGACCATGCTGGTGACGCTTCTGCTGATGATGATGATGATGATGATGACGATGAGGCTGGTGATCATGATGGTGATGGTGTTGATGATGATGGCGATGCCGTTAACGATGGTTCTGCTTGTGGTGATGGTGATGAGGACGATGGTGACGACGGCGATCATGATTCTGATGATGATGACCGTGATGATGATGATGATGACGATGATGATAACGATGATGATGACGGTGATGATGATGATGATGATGATGATGATGATGATGATGATGGTGCTGATGATGGTGATGGTGATGATGTTGTTCATGAAGATGGTGATGATGATGCTGTTGTGCTGATGACCTTGCTGCGGATGGTGCTGCTGCTCGTGATGGCGATGATGATGCTGATGGCGGTGATGATGCGGATGATGACGATGATGGTGATGGTCGTGTCTTTGGTGATGATGATCTTGCTGTGGGTGAGGACGATGATGATGCTGCTGATTGTGAGGTGCCGTTTGACCTCTAGGGGCCCTTTTTGCCATTGCGATAAAACGCATCCTAATCACACTGGTAGCGGAGCTACCACACGATCCCCGTATCGTACCACTGCGCGCACGTCTCATCCGAGAGTGTCGCACTATCTTTCTTTACTTTCTGTACTGGCAGTTTCCCTCGCTAGGGGACTAAGCCTTGCGCCATGGCGCTTTCTTCTCTTCGCTATCGGCCGAGTGCCGACGCACTGACGCGGTCCGAGACGAAGGGTGGCTTCTACATCTACGACGGCACGGTGAACAACTTTCACGAGTGGGCATTCCGCACAGCGATGCGCATGAGTGCCGCCTTGGCCTCAGTGGATCAAGAGACGGGTGCACCACAGCAACACGTGATCACCGCAGCTGTCAACAAGGTTGTAGAATGCCTCAGAGGTGACGCATTCGATATTGCCATGGATATCGGCAATGACGTGCTTCTGACTCCGAATGGGATCGACCAGCTGGTGTTGGCGATTCGTGCTTCACTCTTCCCCATCGAGGCGCAGTAAGCGAAGATCCTGTTCCATGTGGGGCAGAGACCATATGAACTACTGTCTCGGCAGCACGGTGAGCCTGTTGTATCGCACATATCCCGAAGGAAGCGCCGGTGGAAATTTGTCTCCAAGTTAGATCCTGAGACCTTGATGAGGCACAATATGCTTGGCTCCTTTCTCTTGAACAATGCAGGCCTCTCGCTTTCGGATAACCTGATGGTGCTGACATCCACAGGAAATGTGACAACCTTCGACGAGATCAAGGACGTCTGGATCCTCCATCACGGCCGCATACACATCCACCAAAAAGGCAAGGGTGAGTCTGGCAACGGCTCCAGCTCTTCGACGTGGGCGCAGCCCAGACCCAGCTACCAGAACAGGTGCAAGGGCAAGGGCAAGGCGCGCTTCTCCAGGCCGCAACACGCCTTCTACACTGCTGATGAAGGATGGTGCGAGCAGGGGGAACATTACCCTGAGGGGCTGAGTCCCTATGGGTACTACGCGCCCAGCTATGCGCCAGAGCACGGCTGGGGCGACGCGGCCCGGGGCGACTGCGCCGACGAAAGCACCTACGTCGACGAGGAATCGCATGCTCACTGGGCTCCTGTCCAGGGTCGCAGCGAGCTCGACGTCGAGGTGGTCGACGACATGGTCAAGGCGGGATGCGCGGAGGAAGAAGCTTCTGACGCGATCCAAGGGGACCCGGTCGCCAACCTTGGCGCCGAAGGGAGGGGCAAGGGCAGAGGGAAGAGCGGGGGCAAGGGCTGCCCCTGCGCGCCCTGGTCGCCCAAGGGAGGCGGCGAGGGGGGACCTTCCCTGGAAGGTCGCAAGTCGCGGCTCCAAGAGATCAAGATACGCTGGACATGCAGCGCCTGCCACGAGACAGGCCGCTGGTCTGGGGGCCCTGAATGCAAGGGCAAAGCCCGGGGCGGCAATGGTGGCGCACGCTGCAGACACCGGCGAGCGGCGTGTCCAGTTGCGCGAAGACGATAGCGAACGAAAGTTCGCATCCGTCAGTTCTGTTGCCGCGCCATCATCAATCTTTCATCGTATCATTAGGGGCATGGTGGAGTCGATGAGGATGGATCCTGGCGTTTCTCGTTTCTGCTCTTCTTTCTCTTTTCGCGTCGCGCGTCGCAGGGCGCGCGCGCGCGGGGGGGAGTTGCGGCGGGCAACGCAGCATGCAGCGCAGCCACGTTGAGCGTCATGTCTGCGTGAGTTGCATGGGGGCGACCGAAGCCGCCCCTGTTCAGGGGCCTCCAGAGCTCGAGGAGAGGAGTCTTCAGACCTCTGCGGGGGCCGGGGGGGATGCTCTCGGGCTCGCGGATGCTCACTCGACCGAATCTTACTCTATGGCTAGCGTTTCTGGAGGAAGATGTTTCGGATCCTATCTCTGTTCTTGGTCAGGATGCTGCGTTTTCCTCGGGTTAGTACAGAGGGCCTAGTCATGGTCGTGTTCTCAGGGACACTCCAGATAATGTGGATTGGGGTCGCAGGGTGCAGAGAACAAGTGAGGGTTTGGTTCTTTTCTGTGGATGGGTAGATCGCAACTTTACTCGGAGGGAAGATGGGCAGTTTGTGAGAGTTTCGGGGCCGAAAGTGTCCTGCGACAAAGTTTTGCCATATTCGAGTTGTTCTTCTGGCCTGAACAGGGGGCCTCCAAATCCCCCGTTGCCTCATCCTTGCGCTCGAGGTTGTAAGAATCGTTCGGGGGTCGGTTCTAGCGCGCGTTTCATTGCTCGTGCCTGCGAGGATTATGGGCGCAAGACCAAGAAGGAGAGGTGCACGGCGCTGCGCTCTCCGGGCGAGTGTCCGCACGGTCTCGTAGATCATCGCGGCAGTACTCCAGATGCTGTTCGTGCGCATTGCTGTCGTTGCCTGACATATGTCGACGAGCAGCCCAGGAAGCTAGCAGAAGACAAGAAAGCAGTAGCTAAGAACATTGAACGCTCCAACAACATCCAATCAGAAGAAGTTGAGAATATTATGGAAGATGATCGCCGTATCACCTCTGTAGAGCTAAAGGTTGTACTAAAGGCCTTCGCTGACCGTGCTGTTGAGATTGTGATGATACGGGTGACATTAGTACAGGCGAACTAACTTCTTTGCTCCGCGACCGCGTCAAAGAAGTCACAGATCACAGTCTTGTCGGTTTTTTGGTTCCAGCGCAGAACGTTTCGTCCGAAGTTCCGGCTCTTTCTACGCTTCGTGCGGTTGATGTCTTCAAGGGCGAAGGTGTTTGGGTTGTTCTAGACGGGTTGCAAATCTTGTTGTCGCGGTACAGTTTGGGCTCTTAACGCAGAGGGTCAATTCGAGAAATTGGCTTTCTATCCTAAATGGGTTCACAGACGGCGTCGGACGTGCAGCGGTACAGGAGGACAGGCAGGGAGTGAGACGACAGGCAAGAATGGTTTTCCGTTTCGTATCGTTGCTTCTCGTGGCGCCATGGGTGGGCGTTTCGAGTCAAATCTGTTGAGAGATTCGGATCGTGCGCAGCTCGTTTTGCGTTTTTCTGCACGAGCTTCCCTGGGTCTCGCGGGGGATCTCGCTAATGGTCGCGCTCTCTTGAGTAGGGAAGGTGAGGTAGAATGTGCCGTTGTGCTCGCTCAGGTTTTCTTGTCATTCGTCTTGATCAGTTTGACCCAGAGCACGTTGCGGAGTCCATTCTTTCGTTGCACATGTCTTATCCAAGCAGCTGCGCAGCTCCCGCCAGCCGCGCCGCGCCGCCT